TTTTTTTTTGTATTTCAAATTATAAACTGTGAGGACAGTAAAAGAACTGGAGGTCCTCAGAATTTCAGCTCCCTTTGCTCTCATTTACTCATGCTTTCGGCGTTAGCACTGGCTTTTGTGTTTATATGATTTTCTTTAGTGCATCTTGATTCACAGAAAATCAAAAAAGCTTGATAGCTGATAGGAATTTTGCAGACAGATATTTTAAACAAAAAATTTTTGTGTATTTTCAAAACCACAATTACTCGACATTCAGCAATTTATAACTTACTGATGAGGTTGCATCGGACTCTAGCCATCTGAGGAAATTAATTTAAAAAAAGTGAAATCAGTGTTGCAGAGCTGAGTTGCCGGCGACTCTGTGGCCACAGATCCGCTGTGACGTGCTTCCTCTATCCGCACGAAGAACATTCGCGATATGACCGGCAAGTATTGGTTTCTGGTGCCAACGACTTCTCTGTTATAACGTGGAATCTGAATACTGGCTCAATTTTATATCGATTCTGTGTGCAGGGTGGTCCCATTCTGCGCATGCTCATTCCTCCCGAGAACTGCAGCGTAAGTGAATTTGCATAATCTCGCCACACAGTTGTCTTTTTTATCCATAACGAACGATTACTTTAGCCAAGAATACTGCATACAATTTGTTCGGTGGCTGGCGACAATTCTGTGGCTCTTCTTTCTTTGAAAGAAAAGAGATGCCTTTTATTGGCAAGTCGTCAACTCTTCCCAATAGTGGATATAAAATGGCGACCACTGGATGATTTCATGCTACTGAAGTGCGAAGATGAATCCGTCTACATCTGGCAGATGGATACCGGTATCAGATTTTTCTAGTTTCTTTTGTTGCAAAAATTTAGGTAATGTATTGAGTACTGGATCAACATAGAGAATATTATTCCGAATTTCAAAAAGGGCATAAAGCAGCTACGTTCCGGAGGGAGCAGTTTTTTTTTTTTACCTTTCTGGATTCGTAATACTTGACATTTCTCAAAAACGGAGGAGAAATTTTAAAAAATTTGCAGCAAGTTTGGAAAGGATAGTAAACGGGCAGGCTTCTGAAGAAATATTGTTAGCTTGTGATGGTGTCACTGAAGTGGACGATGAAGCCGGTGCCTCGCAGGCCGTTCAAATGTTTCGCGCTCTGAAAAACAAAAACATTGCTGCTGTGAGTTCCTCATAAGTTTGTGTCGTACGGCGATTGTAAGAGACTTGCTTGTTCCTGAGTTCTTAGGTCACCTAGTATAATTTCGAATTAAACATATTGTTCGAGGGGATTTGTCTTAAAAAAATGCTTGTTGCTGTATTATTTTTTCTTTCATGGATATTGAGAGGAGAGGGTAAATGATGCTTTGCTATAAAATGTTTTTAGATGAAGCAAATTGCGACAGGTGGCCGTGTCGGGAAAGTTACGAGCACAACAGAGAAGGCTGTTGAGTTGCCGCCTCCGATGAATATTCAGGCAATCAATAAAAAACCAGATTCTCCGCATTTGGTTTTCTTCAACATTGATTCGTTGATCGGTTTGTTGCATCGTATTTGTATCTGCTGCCATTACGCAATATCAGTTGCTTCGATTTATCGTTTCTCCTTTCCTTCGTTATTTTCTCGCATTTTTGGCTGTATTCCGTCACATGAGATATCATCCGTTGTTTGAATTTTTGCCAGTGACAGTGTTCAAATTTGATTGCAGCTGGTCTGTTATCAATCGAAAATGAGTTAACGTCGGGCGAAACCATGGAAAATAAGTCGCTGTCGACAATACTGATGGGCAAGCAGCAGCCGGAGCCTCGCTCGGCGGCGGTCCCAAAAGTTGCTTGGCAGACCGGCTCCAATCATTATTTGGATGTTGCGAAGCTCTGTATGA